CCACGACGCGGCCTGGCGGTGAGGAGCCCGGGCAGAGCGGGGCCCGGAGCGGAGGAAGCTCAGCTCTTCACATCTGGGTTTTTCTTTCTGATGAGCCAAAAAAAAAAGCCCTTTGCTTGGGGGAAAGCCATCGCTGCCACAGCGGCCGGGCTGGGAGGCTGCACGTTCCGCAGCAATTTCTTTTTTTTTTTATTTTTTTTTGGAGTCGAGTTGTGAGGATAAATATTTACCTCTAAAGCCGCCTGTGTCCAAAGGTCTCTGACAGGACCAGTAAAAGGAAACATGTATTACAGCTCGAAAAGAGGCATCGCAGCCCAGTGCTGCCGGGGGAAGCTGCGGGAGCGAGAGGAAAGCGGGCCGTGGCGTTGTTTGCTGGCGGACTGACGGAGGCTTGTGCATCTGCCTGCAAATCCTTGCTGTGCTCCGACACCCCGGAGACTGCTGAGGATTAGGTTTAAATTCTCTGCAGATGTTTTATCGATATGAGTTTAGCCAGAGTGTATCTGTGAGGCCATTTCTTTCGGGTAGGGGGAAAAAAAAAAACAAAAAAACCCACCCCCTCAGCCTGCCCCTTCATCCAAATTCCCCACCTCGCGCCTCTGCGGGGGTCTGCGGAGCTTTGCCCGGTTTGGCAGTGCCGTGAGCCGGGGGGAGAGGAGGCCCTCAGGAAAATAACACCCACCCGGCAGCCAGGGCTGTGCGTGCTGCTGGATTTGGGGGGACCGAGCTGTCCTGTGCAGGCTGGGAACCGCAGGGAAGGGCTTCTTCTGCCCTTCCTCCTCCAGCGGGATGGCTTTGTGCCCTGCTCCGGGCTCTGCCGGCACTCCCGGCTCGGATGCTGTACGGGATGCTGCAGGCACCCTCCCTCTGCGAGGCGGTGGAAGCAAGGTGGCAAAAGCCGGGAGGCCGGGGCAAGCTCAGCCCCCCGCAGCCCTGCCGGCTCCCCGGCGGCTGGATTTATTGTTGGGCTTCCCATCCCTGCCCCAGCAGCGGGCATGCTGCCTGCCACGCCACCGAGGATGCTGGACCCCCTCGCGAGGACGCTGGGCTCCCTCGCAAGGACGCTGGGCTCCCTCGCAAGGATGCTCCATGTGATCCAGCACTTTTTGCATCAAGGCAAGGCTGTCTCCCTTCCCTGCCTGCCTGCCAGCGCCTCCGGTCCCTGCCCGGGAGGCCCATGGAGCCGGCAGGGAGATGGGATCACCGCTGGAGGAGACGCTTCAGGCGATGCTTCGGGAAGAGCCTTTGTGGCATCGTCTGGAGAAGACGGAATTGGAGCTGAGACCTGGGCTTGCTCTGGGTGAGCGCTGGATGGATGTGAAGCTGGGCTGGCCGAGGGCAGCGGAGGAGGAATGGCACATGGTGGAGCTGTGGGATGGCTCGCGACCCCCTGGACCTGATTGCCCCGGGGCTGCCGGCCGCCGCAGGGGCCGGGTGTCCCAGGTGCTGCGGCCGCCGCAGGAGCAGGTTGTCCCAGTTGCTGCGCTGGGTACCACCTGCTGGGGCTTCCCGGCGTGTAAAGGTGCAGAGCTGACCCCTTTCTGCTCAAACCACCAAAGCATCATCCATCTCGTGGCGAAGAGCTGGCATTTCTGCCCTGAGGAGCATTTGGGGATGCCTCTTTCTCCTTCACCAGTCCAGGCTGAGTGTGCCTCCGCCGCTCGTGGATCCTGCCTGCCTTCCGTGTGGAATATAATCCTCAAAGGCCAAGGAGGGCCTTCCCAAGGGACGTCTGCCACCCAAAATTGGATCTAACGTGGGTGTAGGGGCTCTGCACCCACTCCCGGTTTCCTGGACAACCTCCAGACCTCTCCGAACCAGACGGTGTTTGTTCGGGGGCATCGGTTGAAGACCGGGAGGACGGGATGTGTTCCTCACCCTCTCTGCAAGGCGGCGGAGATGTTTCCACCCGGGGCTGCTGCCCGTCCTGCTCGTTCACCCCCAGCGTTGCCCCGTCCCTCTCGCAGAGCCGTCCGAGCCCCAAGCATCCCCTCTCCTCTCCCCGTGGCCCGAGGAGCGTGGCCCGACTCGGCGAGGTGGGCAGAGGCGTGCGTGGCCGCAGGGCTCCCGTGGCACGCAGGAGGCAGGGGACGTGTGTCCACCCCAGGGTGGTGGCAGGGGACGAGCCCTGCCTGCAGGCAGCTGCCTACGTGGGTGAGCCGCCGCTGGGGCTTGAGCGCCCACCAAGCGTGGGAGCTGCCTGCGTGTCCTGGCAAGTGTGTGCGGGGGGGGACACGGGTGGCCCTTGTCACATGCCTGTAGGTGTCACTGTCCCCCTGCCAGACCTGGCCGAGTGGCCAGGGGTTGGGAAAGGGCTGGGAGCTGGAGGCTGAGGTTTGCCGTGCCTGTCCGGTGGTGCCTTGTATGTGGCAGGCGGGGAAAGGGGATGTGGCAGGCGGGGAAAGGGGATGTGGCAGCCGGGAAAAGGGGATGTGGCTCCCCGGGGCGCAGCGGCAGCACGAAGTGGGGTCTCCCCCTGCATCACCCTCCGGGGGGATATTGAGGATACCTTCCAGGTGCCATCGTGCCCGTCTTTGCCTGCTCCAGGGCCGTCCCTGCCTGCGGTTGCAAAAGGTGGCGGATGGAGGGGGCAGGAGTGGCTGGGAGGGG